AAGGAAAGAGAGGATGGGGAGAAAAGGAAAGGGAAGGGAAAGAGTGGAAACTGCTTTCTGGATACTTTGTGCCCTGCCCCTGTTTCCTAACCAAGGCCTTTTGGCTTCACACTTTAGGGGGGCCCGTCAAGCACCCTGAAGATGCAGCCTCCGCCCAGCTCGGCCGCGGTGACCATGGCGTCCATCACCCAGGCCTCGGTTGGGAAAAAGAATCCAGGTCAGTTTACGCTTAGCCTTAGCAGGAGGAGAAGCCAACTGGGCGGCTTCTTTGGCCTTGCTGAAGTGGGCAACATCCGGAGAGGAGGGGACCACTCACACCCCCCCTCCCCAAATTTAAAAAAAAAAAGAACAAAAATCTCATCCATTAAAGTCCAGATTTTCAAGCGTTGTTAAGCGAATCTGGCTTCCTTCATTGGCCCGGCTTGTCAGGAGGTCACAAAAGAGGACCCTGCAGCCGTGACCACGGGGACGCTCCAACCCTCATTAAGTGTCAAATAATGATCTCAAGTCTTTTTTCCCCCCCCCCCCTAGCGCCGTTGTAACAAATGGTGCCACAGAACAAATAGTTGTTGTAAGTCAAGGACCACTTCTGTCCATGTATTTCAAAGGTCCAGCCGGGAGGCACTAATAACAGTAATCTCCAAAGACAAGACTGAAGAACCAAAGATCCAAAATTATAGGCCAATCTCGCTGCTAAATGTCGATTATAAAATATTTATGACAATAATGGCAGAAAGAATTAAAGATATAATAAAGGAAATCATACACCCAGACCAAAATGTATTTCTCCCAATAGACACATTAGAAAACAATATACGGACGATAATGGACATATTAGAATATTATGAGATACATTCCGAAAAACAAGAAGCATTGATATTTATTGATGCACAAAAGGCGTTTGATAACCTGAATTGGCATTTTCTTATAAATCAGTTAGCGGTAATGGACTTCAGAAAGACATTTATTGGAATGATCAAAGCAATATATTCTATCCAGATGGCAAAAATTATACTAAATGGAGAAGCAACAGAAGGTTTCAGCATAACCGCAATAAAATTGCAAAAAACGAAATTAAAAATGCAGCACCTCCATCGTCCACCTAAGAATACCCCGACAGTCCTCCGCAGCAGGGTCTCTCCTCATTTGACCCCAATGCCTGGGTAAAGGACAAACCTTCCTAGTTTTCCAGAAGGCTAAAGGGGGGGAGGGGGTGGGCTAGCCAGATGTGGGGCATTATCCCACGTTTTCAATTACACACCATTTGGGGAGATTAAGCATAATCCCGTCTTACAAATGCCGAAACCGGGAGCTGAATTTCTGAGAGCGTGACGGCATTTCTGCAGCCATTTGGAAGCGCAAAGGCCCCTTAAAACTCATTTTTTGGGTAGAGTGTTTGAACTCTGTAGAAGAAGATTTGCCTGCTTACAGCTGAAGAGAGGCAGGATAGGCAGGTTGCCCATAAAAATAGATAAATAAACCTCGTTTCCAAGGTAGCAGAATAACAAGCGTTGGAAGGGACCATCCGTGGCTAACTAGCAGAAACAGAAGTTAGACATTGAAAAGCATCAGAGAATGATGAATTGTATAAGGAAGGTTCACGAAAATGGATAAGCAAATACTGTGATGATGATGATGATGATGATGATGATGATGATGATGATGATGATGATGATGATGATGATGATGATGATGTAATAATTAGTAATGTTATTGTGGGCTGTTATTATTTCTTAAAATTAACCGTACCCAAACAACACACTATTTATGCAGACATTGAATTTTTTTATGTTTAATTGGGGGGGGGGGAAGAGTTGGAAGGGATCCTGGAGGTCTTCTAGTCCAACCCTCTGCTCAGGCAGGTGCCTCTATACCAGTGACGGTGAACCTATTCCACACTGAGTGCCCAAACTGGGAGGCGCATGGATGTCTCTGCAAGTGCATGCGATGGGGCACCACAAACCCGGAGACCAGCTGGCGGTTCACATGTGTCTGCTGGCCATCTGGTCTTCAGGTTTTGGCACACACATGCACACCGGCCAGCTGGTCTTCATGCACCCCGGAGCGCTGGAAACCCGAAGAGCAGCTGGCTGGCGCACGCATGCCTTGTTTTTGGGTCATTTTCGGGCTGGATTCTGGCTATTTTCTGGCACCCGCAAAGACCAGCCGGACGGGGACAAGAACAGCTGGCGAGAGGGCTCTGCGTGCCACGGGTTCCCCATCATGGCTCTATGCCATTCCAGACAAATTGCCATCCAACCTCATCTTAAAAACCTCAAGTGATGGAGCTCCCACGTGGCTTCCGGAGACGAGCTCTTCCAGTGAAGCGACTTAGTGGAGTTAGCTTTTGTCGCAGCTCAGAACAGGCCGAGGGTGTCAGAAGCCCTCCTCCCTGAGCATTGTGGCACACTCAGCAAAAATTGCAGGTGCGCCAGAGACAGCCACACCAAGAGTGCCGAAGCTTGGGGCCCGATGAGCTCATTGATGCAGGAAGGTCGAAGAGGAAGAAAAATGGGATCACACAATGTTGATGAGTTTGGAGAACTGAAATGTTGCTGCTTTTCAGCTCCCTGTTCCCAAGAATAAGATGTGGTGGCCCTCCAGGAGAGCTGGCGGCAGAGTCGCAGAGTGAGGAGGTTGGGGAGGAAGATGGGCCAGTCCTGGAGCCTGGGGAAGGCTCAGATGAGGCAGAGGGGGGGCTGAGGCCTTCTGACAGTTACCTGCTGCCTTCAGAGTCAGACATCAGTGAGGCAGAGGAACAGCTGGAGCCTGTTCCCAGAGTGCGCATGCACAGAGTTGCCAGAGGAAGGGAGAAACTAAAGAACAGGGGTGGACTTGGGAGTAAGGCCACAGGGGGACGGTGAATGGCCCCTCCCAGAGGGAATAAAAGAGGGGCGAAAGGGGAGGGGAGTTTGCAGGAGACCATTAGTTCGTTTCATTGGTTTGTGACTCTCCAGGACTCCTTGCCAAGTTCTGCAGATATCAGCCTGGCAGCTCTCCCAGCCAGATAAGGTCTGTGAGCATTCACAAATTC